CATAATTCATAGAAGACAGAAAATTCTAAACAAGAAGCTAGAGAAAATCTGTGGTACAAACGCCATAAAATTCTCTATAAAGCTACAAGTTTAAGAATTCAAGCATTTAAGTTCAAGAACGATCAAGATCAAGACTATCAGGTTCAAGAACAAGCTCGAAGCCCTTGAATTCAAGCAAAAGTCAAGATCAAGATAAAGTTCAAAGTTCAAATTCATCAAAGATTCAAGATCAAGCTTTAAAGCCCTTGAATCATATTTGAAAAGGCGAATTCAGAGGAATCATAGAGATTGTAACACTCGCACTTTGAAATAATAAACACGATTGTTGCTATAATTTTCCGTTCTTGATTATTGTTTTCTCGACGCGAATTTTATTGTCTACAGTGTAATAGGATTAGCTTTCTCCGCATGGACTCTCTCTCTCGGTGCACGTTAGCCTAACGTGTGCCAACCATGGGCAAGAGGACTCGAGCTCCATCTTTGAAGGCTATAATGGCAAAGGAAGCGCAGGAAAGGATTGAAGCAACTCAGAGGGAAAAACAACATGCTAAACTCTTGTGGCATATATATACTTTTCATGTGTTCATGCTAGTAGCATTTTTAACTGCATCTGCAGCCCCTTGTGTCGTGACATAATTATTAGCAGCCCAAAAATCCGTCATAATCAGGCACAATTAATAACCTAAAACATATTGTTAAGATATACGATATATGAGCAATAGCAATGGAACCCTTTAACCGACACATTGAAGATAAATAATGAAAAAGAAGGAGAGGAGGAGGACAAGTGGTATTGAAACTTCGAAAGAGAACCTGAATGAATTTACCATGATTCACTGATCTGGCAATTTATAAAATTCTAATTTCTAAAGCTACAGTTGGAAGTTGAAAAGAACTTGCTAACATTGAATTAGTTTAGGAAGATGAAAAGTTATTCTAGAGTATTGAATAGGCTGCAATAAGTGGCAATTGCAAGAAAATTAATTCACCCCCTTTGTATACTCAAATATTTGATTGATTGTTATTAAACTTTAAGTATGCAACGTATGTGTCCATTCTGGAGTAGTATTGAATATGGTGATTTTCTTAATTAATGATAGAATATTTAATTAATTATATTTTATAATAATTTAATCTAGTGTAGGGGTAAAATGTAATCTAACTTTTCACTTTGGAGCTTCCCACTTATATTAAAGTAATATAATATAAATATATAGTAATATATTCTATTTTCTACTATATTATAAAAGAGAGTTTAGGCCCAAGTATAATAAATAATATTCAAGATTGAGACTTTTCCCAATCTTGAATATTATATATTATACTTGTGGGACTTTTAGAATTATATTTTATACCCAAGTATAATATATAATCTATTCAAGATTGGGACTTTCTTGAATATTATATATTATATTTATTATATAGTAGAACTTGGTCATAAACTCCCTTTTAAAATAATATTGATATTATAAATCACAATAATTAATAACTTAAAACATTTTTTTTTAAAATATGAAAATTTGGATGACTCTCCAAATTTTATTTATGTCACATAAATTGAGACAACAAAAATAACATATATTGGGTCCATTTTAATTTATTTGTCTAATTTTTTTTTACTGTTTTTTATATTTAAAAAATTGCGTAAAAATACTATAAATCATGATAATTGACAACATAAATTTTTTCAAAAATAAATACATTTAAAAAAATTCGATTGATTCTTGAAATTAATCTATCGTTAAAAATTATGTATAAAATACAATAAATCGTGATAATTGACAACTTAAAATATTTATTAAA